ACTTGGGGTGATGGCCCCAGGGTAGGTGAGGGTCTTAGGACTTAGCCCAACAGCGACATCACAACATCTGCTCTTCAGATCCCACCAGAGAGTCTCCTGAGCCCAGAGGGGTGTCTCCTGGACCCTTTCATCCTGCCTCAGTCCCCCCAGCCTTCCCCTCCCCACTCCAGGCTGCCAGCACCTGCCCCCATCTTCTGGGCCTGGTTTTATGACCTCTGCCTCCAGCCCCGCCCTGCTCCCCTCCCACCACCTCCCTATTGTGAAAGACCTCCCCTGCAGCCCCCCAAGAAGGGGGCCTTCTCTTTAGTCTTCCACTCTGCCTGGGGAGTACCCTTCTCCTAGCCTTGCGCCTCAGGACTGGTGGGGCTGGAGGAGGGATAGTCACCCTCTTCTCCCATAGAGCTTTCCAGGGGTCCCTAGACTCCCCAGGACATGAAGAGGGGTGAGTTGGAGTTGGTGACAGTGTGACTGGGTTGTAGGAGGGTGAGTGAACGGGGAGCAGGCTCAGCGGAAGGACCAGGACCCTGCTGGGGCCCTTCTTTGCAGCTGTCAGTACTTCCGGCACAGGCTCTTCCTCAGACCCCTGCCCCCCCGCTCTTGTAAGGCCTCAGGCCGTGCGGAGGGGCCCCAAAGCCCAGCGCAAAGCCAACAACAGTAGCAGCCTCCTGGGGAGGAGGGCCTCTTGCCCTCCCTGCCTCCCTCCCTCCCTCCATGTCCATCTAAAACTGTAGAACCACTGGGCTAAGCTGGCCTCCCATGCCTCTCTCCCCTGCTCTGGCCTGCCTGGGGAGGCACTGGGGACCCGGTGCCTGTGGCCAATGGGAGAGGCATGGGTTTGCAGGAGGGAGGAGCCCCGGCCTCAGGAGCAGGACAGCCGCCAGGTCTTTCTTCCTTGTCCCCTCTCGCCCAACCCCAGCCCCTGGCAGCCCCTCCTGCTGGCAGCCCCTCCATCTCTCCAAGCCCGGGTCTCAGTTAAAGGACTTTTGTGGGTGGGAGGAGGCAAAGGGCCTCCTGCAAGAGCAGGAGTGTTTCCTGTGGTTGGTGAAAGGAAGTGGTGCTGGATTACCAGGTATTCGTACCAGGTACCAACCAGCCTTGCCCATAGGAGTGGGGCGAGGGTGCTTGAGAAGCCGACCAGGGCAGGACAAGACCCAATGAGGTAGGGGAATGATGGGAGGAGTCGTCTCGGGAACCTCCGGGGTGAGGCCTTGAGGCTTCCTGCAGCACCAGGTGAGGTTACTGCTCACAGCTGACGCCACTTCTGAGCTTCGGGCCTGCAGACACCCTACCCGCTCAGCTCCAGCAGCTCCTGGACCCCGGGCCTCCAGGTAAAGACAGTGTGATACCCCAGCCCCTCCATCAGCCTCCGTCCTCTTGCTCCGTGCTTCTTCTCCCAGCAGCCCACTCAGGAGGTCGCAGACCCCAGCCTCAGGGCCCTGAGCCTGGTCATGTGAGGACCTGGGCAGAGTCACAGGGGCCTGAGCTGGTGCAGGCCTCCTTTGGGGCCAGGGGAGTTGGGGGTTTGGGGACAATGGCACCCCCAGGGTCGGGCAGACTCCCCTCTCAGCGCCCCTGTTCTTGTTACTGTCTGCCTTCTGGGCCTCTGCTGCAGCCTGAGATGTGCCCTAGGCCCCTCAGAGCCTGAACTAAGATTTCGGAAGCCTCAGGCCTCTGGACTTCAGAACAAAAGCCTCTTCAGCGTCTCCCCAAGGGCAGGAGTTGGGGTTGGAGGCCTCTGCGCCTTGGAAGGCAGGAAGCGAGCACATCGCACCTTGGGTCTGGGCTCCCCCTCTCTGTGCCCGCGGCCTCCTGGTACCTGGGGAGGGGCTGTGGCCCTGGCTGGACCCCAGGCCTGTCCCCCTCAGCACTCCAGCAGCCCACGCCGGGGCAGGGACTCGAAACCCATTCCTTCTGAGCAACCACCTCCACGGCCCTGTTGGGGACCACTCCCTCTCAGGACCCCAGGGCAGGAGGGTCTCCCACCCGGAAGTCCCCCTGAGCCCCACCTGTCAGTGCTGGTGTCAGTCACTCAACGCCCACCGCCTCCTGCAGCCCCCGTCCGCCCCCTGGATGCTGCGCAGGGCGCTCTGCGGGGCTCGGCGTGTACCGTGTTTTGTCCCCAGTTAAGCGCCCTTTCTGCGGCCTGGCTCTGCGAGGAGCCGGGGCTGCCCCGCCGCCTGCCACCCTAGGCTTCCTGACTCCATTAGTCCAACACCTGTGAAACTCCGAGAAGTGCTGTGGTCTCAGCAATGCACCCGTTTTGTACATGATTGTGTAATTTAAAGGTATATAAATACAGATATATATATATATAAGTTGTGACTGTATGACTGTCGATAAAATCCAGAACTGTGTCACCCTGGCTGGACGTTGTCATCCTGAGTCTTGTGTGTCTTGCGAGCACTCTGAGAGTTGCCTGCGGTTGGACGTCTGTTGGGGAGCATGCTGGGTCCTGTCCTGGCGACCACCACGGGCTGGGGGCCTGAGGGCTGGTCCCTTCACCTTCCAGGGCCCTGGGTCCTGTCTGTACAGGGAAGGTCACACCTGATGCTCTCTAAGGCTCCAACGCTGTGGCCTTTAGAATCCCGGGTGCCTGGTGATGGGCACTGACCAGGAGACCTGGGGCATCCGGGGTCCCAAACTCATGGTTCAAGGATGAATTTGACCCCTAAATAGGTTTCCATTTTTAAAGCAAAATTCTAAAAGTGGCCGCTGAGGCCTGTGGCTTCTGGTGTTCACAGTCCCGGCTCCCTGTGGTGTGACATCAGGCCATGCCACACTTTCCTGTGTCCTGCCTGACCTCTGACAGCACTTCTGTGTGGGGCCCCTTGTGGGGCAGGACAGGGGCTCTGGGCTCCTAACTCTGTTACGCCCGGGGCTCAGCCCCCAGCCCAGCTTCAGCTCCAGTCCCAGCCCCTGCTCCAGCTTCCCCACTCCAGCCAGATCCCCTCTGGGGCAGGGCAGGAGTCCCTCTCCCAGTCCTGCCATCAGGTCAGTGTGTCCCCACCCCGGGTCTCAGCCTCCCCCGTCTGGTTAGATGTCTCTCTGAGGCCCTTCTGGCCTTGACAGCCTGACAGGGTCCTGACACAAACCCTCGTTCAAGGTAAATATACTATAGTCCCCTCACCCCTACTGTTTTCCCCCAGCCTCGGGGCATGCTCAGGGCAGGGAGAAAAGGTCCATTTGGGGATTGGATCTGTTCTGTCCCCCGTATTCTTCATCCCCCAGATCCACCTCCAGGGCCAAACCCCTGGTTTTAGCCAGAGGACTCTTCAAGTAAAGATAAACGTTTGCCTTATTTGGACAGGCTGTTCCATGCAGTTATGGGGAGCCCTGGAGGCAGGCTCCCCTGCAGAAGGTCAGGGAGTACCTAGGCTAGATGGAGTTCTGACAGGCAGGTGTGTGAAGGAGAAAAAGGATTCCGGAGTTTGCTGCCAGCACGCGAGGTGTCACTGGGTGCGTGTGTGCCTCTGTGCCTCGTGCAGATCCACAGCAGGGAGCTGCCCCACCCAAGCCCCCCTGCAGCTCCGCGTTCTGGAGCGCCTCCAGCTCCCCACTCCTCACCCCTAATCCTCCTCCCTCCTTCCCAGCCCCAGCCTGAGATCCGAGGCCTCTCCAGGCCCAGGCCCAGCTGGGGACGTGCAAGCAGGTGGCTCCAGGGACTTGGGGGCAGGGTGGGCAGGCCGGAGACAAAACCAGTTCAGCAGTTCAGCAGAGCCGAGCTGGGTTCTGGCCAGGGCCCAGTCTGCCCCCTCCCCGGGGGTGGGCAGACAGCAGGGGCCCAGCGAGGCACTGGCCTGGGGCAGGGCCTCCTCCTCCTCCCAGTGCAATCCCAGCTGACAGATGCCAAGGTGCTGTTTGCTCACTGCCAGGAGTAAACTTTCTTCTGGAGACAATAAAATTGCTGAGGGCAGAAGGTGCAGTACGGGGCAGCATTTAACCCTCAGTGGTCTGGGTGGCGCTGGGCTGTCTCCTGGAATCCTGTCATCAGAAGCTAAGCGTTACAGAAGCTAAGGGCGCTGACAGAGCAGGAGGCATGGAGGGACAGGGAGAGCCCTGTCCTTGTGGGTTCAGTTCTTGGTTCTGCCGCTGATTGGCTGTGTGACTGTGAGCGAGCACTTAACTGCTCTGAGCCTCAGTTTCATCAGCTGCAAAGTAGCGTGTGTGGGGGGGTGACCCTTACCTCACAGTTTTGTTGGGAAGGTTAATGACAAAAAGCAGTGGAAGCACCTGGCTGCCTAGTAGGCCCTCGGGTCAGCTGAGCTGGATGAACAAACGTGAGAGGAGCATGAGGAAGCCGAGTTGCTTTGCCCAGGAAAGAAGGCGGTGGGTTCCATCTCCCTCAGCACACAGATGAACACTCAGACCCACTGCTTTTTCCCGTCAGGAGCCCTGGCCCCTCACACCTAGCTTGCAGGGCTCACAGCTTCCGGGCCCCTGAGGAGGTCTGTGGCTTCTCTCAAGAGAGGAATTGCCAGCAAGCCAGCCTCTCTTCCACTCTCGTTTGCTGCAGAGCCAGAGTCCCATGAGGAAGACTGAAGGCTTCATCCTCTCCCACAGCCCTGCTGCCCAGCCCAGAGGCCCTGCAGTTGGCCAAGCAGAGGCAAGGGCTGTGGACCCCCTCACAAGAGGGGCAGCCCTTGGCCCACCCCAGGGGAAAGTCCTGATCTACAGCAGAGCAGGAGGATGGGAAGAACGCCACCATCTCTCCAGTCCTGCCGTAGACCCTTTTTAGCCCCGGCCCACGCCCTCCTTCCAGCTGACACCAGGTCAGGGGAGATGAGGGCCAGTCCAGCTCCTCGTTGGCCTTGAGGACTCACTGCCTCTCTCCCACTGCTTCTACCAATCAACTGCCCCTTTCCTTTTAGGCTCAGCTCAATGCCACCTCCCCCAGGAAGCCTCCCTTGACCACCCCAGGCCCCTGTGACCACAGCCTTTTGAGCATTGATGGCCTCCAGGCTGTGCCACTCCCTCACTGTACGTAGGACACTGGGGCCACGTCAATTCTCTAGTATCTTTATTATCCATCCCCAGGGCACCCCTGGCTTCCCAACTTGGGGGTGTAGATGTCCCCGCACCATGCCAGGCATGGTACAGAATGGGTGGCAGAGGGCACTGGACTGCGAGTGGCCTTGGCCAAGTCACTGCCGTGCTGTCGGCTCTGCTCTGGAACTTCTGGGGTCAGAGGCTGGGTGGAGGGAGGGCCTTCCCTGGGGTGCCATGAACACTGAGAACAGCCCTGGCTTCCGCCGTCCTCCAGTGGACTGGGCGCAGGAGCAGTCAGGCCCAAAGAGAAAGCACGCCCACGCCGGGGTCCCTTGGGCCCCAGAGAGCTCACTGACACCCGTGGAGCGAGGGGCCATCCCCTCCCTGACCTTGAACTCCGGATGCCAGCAGACTGCCCTGTCCCCCAGCTCAGGGTCTGGCTGAGGCAGGGCAGGCAGGAGGGAGGTCTGGCGAGGGCAAGGTTCGGGCCCAGGGCCTGGCCGCAGCACTCAGATGGGGTGCACGAACTGGTAGACCAGGCGCTGGGAGATGTCCGGCTTGCGGATGATGCCCTTCTTGTAATACTGGCGGATGGAGCGGCTCAGCTTGTCGTAGTTCATGGCGGGGCGGTTCTTGCGGATGCCCCACAGCCGGGCCACCTGCGCGGAGTCCTCGATTTTGAAGATGCCTGGGGCAGCAGGAGGGCCCAGAGAGAGCCAGCAGTGCAGGCGGGGTGGCAGGAAGGAGAAAGACCGAGACCAGCAGGTCAGTCTCTCGCAGCCAGGGGGGCTAGAGTCGCCCGGGGTAGGGCCAGGCGCTGGGCCACGATACCTTCTCCCATGGTTGTGGTGAGGGTTAAAGGAACATGTGGGAAGGGTGTTCCACAGGGCCCAGGAAGTGGTAAATCCTACCACGGACTCACAGACCTCCTGGTGCAGGGTGAACCTGCGTACGTTGGTTGGCGACTTGGGGCCCTGAGGGCCTGATCCTTGCCAGCCTCTGCTCCTAAGCGTGGGGTGTGCACACCCTACGCAGAAGCCCTGCGGGGCTCCGGGCTGCGGACACGGCTCATTTGGCAAGGTCACCCGTGCAGTTCCCGAGCCTGAAAGACCGCTTTGCGATTCTCAGACACTTCAAGCCCACACAGCCCTTTCTGGCAGGATTAATTGGTAGGAGATGCTGGAAAGAGTGGATCTGGAGCCAGGCTGACCTGGGTTGGAATCCTGGCTCTGCCATTTTCTACCTTTAGAAGTTGTCCGAGACCCCGTTTTCCTGTCAGTAAGAGGGGGTTGTAGTGATCGTCATGTTGTTGAGTGGGTACGGAAAGCGCTTAGAGCAGAGCCTGAAGGAAGTACCCCTTAGGATGAACTATTACTCATTAATACCCCCAGTTCTCATTCTAAACCACCTGGCAAAGCACAGGTCAGCACACCCTCTCCAGGCAGGCTCCCCAGACCACCCCACCCTCCCTGATCTCCCTGCCCTCATGGGACAGTCTCCCTGGAGTACCGGCTCACTCTCAGTCTCAAATATACACACGGGATCACCACACCTTGTGCAGGAACTTTTCCACCCCTCCTAACCCCTTCCCATGCTCCACACTCAGCCCCAAAGTCGCTCCTCTGTGAAGCCCTCCTGGACCCAGGCACAGCTGACCCCATCACAGCCCAACACATTCTGCACACCAGCTCATTTCACTGCTGGTTCTCCTACAAGACTGTAGGTCCCTGGAGGATGGGGTACCGCTGAATTCTCCCCACACCCTCAGGACACTGTAACCCTCCATAAATGTCGGCTGAGCAAGTATGGAACCAGAGGAGGTGCTCAGGGACGGTTTGCTGGATGAACGAATCTAGTCCATTTCACAAACATGAAGGCTGGGGTCCAGGCGCCCACGGCTACTAATGGCAGGAGGGGGCCTAGAATCCAGGTTTCTTGGCTCCGAGCCTTTTCTAAAACACACACCCGCACACCATCCAGCCTTGTTGCTGTCCAATGTGGTCCCCACTAGCCACATGTGGCTCTTAAGCCCTTGAAATGTGGCTGGTCTGAAGTAAGGTGTGCTGTAAGCATAAAACGTATACCAGATTTCAAAGACTTAGGAAATATCTTATTAATAATTTTTATATCGATTATATGTTGAAATTATACGAATTTATACCATTGGATTAAACAGATGTATTATTAAAATTAAATTCACCTGTTTAAAAAAATGTTTAATTGTGACTACTTGAAAATCTAATATTACCTCTGTTGCCCGCACTGTATTTTTCATTGGATACCATCAGTCTCCTCCGTCAAGCTCTGATGTTTTGAGGGTAAAGACCGTGTCCGGTTCTCAGCAGAGTTTTAAGGCCCTGCTATGTCCCAGGCACTGTGTGTCCCTGGGGACCCTCAACAGGCAGAGCCCAGCCGGGGAACACGCGTGGACACAGACGGCACACAGACCCTGGGCCGGTCCAGTAAGAGTGCGTGTGTGGCATTCAGAGCAAAGGTGGGGGCAGCTCCAGCCCTCTGCCCTGCCCCCAGCCCTCCCTGCCCAGCGCCTGGCAGGACCACAGGCTCCCAGCAGCCCCCTCCCCTCCTGCCCCTGGCACTGCTCACCCTTCTCCTTGTTGAGCCACCGGATGAAGCGGCCATAGCTGTGTGGCTTCAGCAGCAGTTCCTTGAGAAACTGCCACAGGTGGATGGGCTGCCCGGAACAGGATGAGTCCACCTCGCTGTCCGTCCAGCTCTCTTCGCTGGTCGACGCTGGGCAGCCAGGGAGGGTGGCGGTGAGTGGGGAGCCCCCTTCTTCAATGGCTGCCCCAGCCTACCCCCAGACCCCAGAGCCCCAGCCGCCTCCCTGCCCTGCCTGACTCACCACAGTAGTGAATCGCCCCCAGGGACGTCCTCTCTTTCATCCAGGCCGCTGCGGGACAAGGAGAGGAAGTTGGGGACCAGAGAGACCCCCCAAGGGAGGAGGAGGGCATTTGGGTGGAACTGTGCGGCCAGAGAAGCCCCCCCGTGGCTCCCTCCCTCCTGCCAGCCTGTGAAGACCAGCTGTTTACAAAGCCTCCTCCGGGAAGAAAATGCAGGATTTCGGAGCTGGGAGGGGCCTTAGAGGCCCTGCAGGCAGCCCCTTGTTCAGAGAGGACTGGAAGTCAAGCCTTGCTTTGCCTCCCTTCTGTCACCTGTGAAATGGGGCTGGGACACCCCCTCACAGGTCTTGCAAGGATGCAGGGTGGTGAAGCCTGCACGGTGCCCAGCATAATAAAAACACTCCCTGCCCTCCAGCTGCCAAGCTCCCCGAGCACCACCATCCCCTCCTGCTCTCCACCTGACCCCCTCCCCAGACAAGCAGTGGGACGCGGAGGCCGCCAGCTTCTGTCCACACCACCACCCGGCTTATAGCCTGGCACTGTCCACTGCTCTTGCCAGACCCCGGCAAGGGGCCTGGGCTGGGGCAGGACACTGGTTTCTGAGCCATGAGAGTGGGACCTGTCCTCTTATTCACCCTGGGCCCTGAGGGGCAGGGGCCTTGACTCGTGGAGCGAGGACTGACCCCTCTGAAGTGCACAGCTCTGTGCAGGGCACACTGGGCGCCCGATAAGATTGAGACCAAGTACACATTAAGGGGTTGGCATGCAGCCCTCAAAACCGGGGCAGCTGTATAGACAGTGATGGGAAACAAGATCCAGGATACGCTGCTCAGTACAGAACAGCCTGATACTCGTACTGTTCATGTTAGAAAGGGGTAGACGTCACACTTACTCTTGCTTGTATATGCATAGACTTTCCTTGGCAAGGTACTCACAAAACTGGCAACAGCGGTTGCCTCTAGGGAGGGGGATTGGAGGGCCGGGGTGGGTGGGAGGGAGGATTATTCTTCATGGTGTGCTGTCGTTCACAATGGTCTTTTAAAAAATCCTGCACATTTATTACCTCGTTTCTTCTTTAATGAAAACAACACAAAACAAACACAAAATTTTAAAAACGACAAAGAAGAAGGACTTAGAGTATCTGATGTCCTGTGTCCTCACAGTCTAACTTCTATTTTTAACTTCCCATGTGCTCTGTCCTAAGTTCTGTGGCCTTGACCAGGGTAGGCAGTGGGTCGGGGCTGCAGAGTTCACCCAGGACCCGGGGAGGCAGCTGTCATTGGGGTTGGGATTCAGAACAGAGCCCAGATTGGGACAAGGGGCTGCCTACCCAGTGGAGTGTAGCCTCCGGACAGGCATGCTGACCTAACTGTTCCCCTTGGTGTCCCTGGCTTGGAGCCCACAGTGGGGGGCGGGGGGTGGGGCATTCTACCCACGCCTGTCCCACCTGATTTCCAGATGTCCAGGTGGGCGTGCAGCACGTCCCCGCCCAGGGGCGAGCGCTGGCGGAACTGCTCCTCCGACATGGCACACAGCTCCTTACCCCCCAGCTCCTGGAAGGCCTTGCCCACGGAGGGCAGCCGGTACTGGTGCTCTGTCCACAGGAGCCACTTCTGCACGTTGCCAGGGCTCCAGTCCACGGGGTCTGGGCAAGAGACACTCCTTCAGCCCTGGAGGCTGCTTGAGGGCACCACCCCCAAGGTGGCCCCTCTGCTCTGATGGGGCCTCCATGGGAACTGGTGGCCTGGGACCATGCACTCCTGAGATGGGGCCAGGCCAGGCCACATGGGGCCTTGAGGGGCTCCGTGGAGGGGGTACCGAAGAAGGGGGCAGTGGCAGGAAGGAACCGGGGCCCTTGAAGCAAACATGGCTCAGGGCAGGGCAGCCTGGGGCCTCTGCACCCCCATCTCACCTGGACCTCAGGTCCTCCCAGACCCCTCCAGCCCCTCCAAAGGGCCTTTTGGGGAGCCACAGCCCTGGAGGGGACAGTGACATTAAACCAGAAACACCCAAGCTTCTTTCTTTCCCAGATGCCTCTTGCCTTCCCCAAACCCTTCAAAGAACCAGAGAAAAACCCAACCAAGAATTAGCTCTACAAACCCCTCTCTACCCGCACTGTATTTTACAGATGAGGAAACTGAGGCACAGAGAGAGTTCCATTCCCTCGTCCAACACCTAACAAAGGGCTGGGTGCTGGAGAGCTGCTCAGTGCACGTGCACCAAATGTGGGGGAGCGGTGGCAGGGTACAGGGTGGCCATGGGGCCAAGGCCCGGAGGTGAGTGGCTGGCTTGGTCCTATAAGTCTCCCTGGGGAGCTGCCCTGGGGTGAGCCCAGCAGGGCACGTGGGTGGTGGCCAAGCTGCAGGCACAGACACAATGGGGCCTCCAAGTGAACGCTGTGGTCTAAGCTGGGTGACCTGCAGACTGGCCTGCCCTCACTTAATAAACCTATTTTCTTCCTCAGGGTCAAAGCAATTTGTTTCTGTCCCTATTGTTTAGCGGGCAGGGCCCTCCCCAACTCGGTGTGGGAGCGGAGGCACCGTGGGAAAAGCTCCCGGGTTGAGGGCTGGCATTGGGCCACTGGAGGATGGGGCCTGGGCAGGAGCTGCCTCAAGGCAGGACCTCAGCTGGGACTACTAGGTGGCAGGGGCTGGGCCTGGGTGACTGAGGAGGAGGAGCCAGGCCTAAGCGATGCCTGAAGACCCTTCCTGTGTGCGAGCCTCAGATGCCAGGGCCCAAAGGCCAAGGAGATGGGTCAGGCTTGCCCAAAGCTGGAGAGATGATGGAGGGACAGGGGACTGGAGACCCAGCAGCCCCTCAACCAGTAGCATAAGCTCCGTAACCACACCTTCCAGGCCCTCGCAGACACGTGCCTGGCCTCCTGATGTGCCCCCCTCATCAGAGCCCTCATCCCCACTGGACCAGTGATACATTATCCTATTTATTTATGACCTGTTTTGTCACTGTAACATTAGCTTCGTGAACGAAGGCGCCTTTGTGCTATGTTCACGCTGAATTCCCCAGTGCTAGAACAGGGCCTGGTATATTAAGTTATTGTTTATTGAGCATCTATTATGTACAAGGTAACATCCTAGGAACTGGGGATGTAGCAGTGAACAAAACAAATGAAAATCCCTGCCCTTGGGGCATGTACATTCCAGTAGGGGAAACAGTAAACAAGATAAATATGTAGCATATCAGACGGTAGGAAACATGAGAGAAATAAAGCAGGTTGGAGGAATAAGGCGTGGGGGTATGGGCAGCAATTTCAATAGAGGGGTCAGGAAAGGCCTCATCGAGATGGTGCCATTTGAATCAAGACCTGAAGGAGGTGAGGGGTGAGCCAGGTAGGTATGTAGGGGAAGAGTGCTCTGGGTTGAGGGACCAGCAAGTGCAAAGGTCCTGAGGTGTGTGTGTTGCGGTAAGAGCAAAGAGGCAGGAGTGGCTGGAGCAGAGTGAATAAGGGGAGAGTGGATTTAAGTGTGAGAGGAGGAGGTGGGCCAGATGGTGTAGAGCTCGTATTTGCTTCACCCGGCACCTACCAAGTGGGGACACTGGGCTGGTGCAGCTGGGGCACAGAGAGAGCGGGAACCTTGGATCCCAGGCTCGCAGCTGCTGTGTGTTAGGGGCTGAGTGTATGTGTAGAAGCACCAGCATCTCTGGGGGTGACCACAGTGCACCAGGCGGTGCCCCCACACCTCCCTGTGACCTCCGCTGGCCTGTGTCCCCCTGGCGGAGGGGGGCGTGAGGAGGGGCTCACCTGCCGTGATGTTGAGCAGCTTGCAGGCCGTCTCGATGTCCTTGAGCACCTCGCCCACCACCATGGACTGCACCTGCTCCAGTGAATGCTCCTCCAGGGTCAGCCCACCTGGCGCCAGGTCCAGGCTGCCCCCCAGGGCTTGGCTGTCGATGACGGGGCACTGCTCGGGCTCGTCGGGCGGCTCCTCCCGAGTGCTGGCCCCGGGGCCCTTGGCCACCCAGCTGCTGTCCTCGGAGAACAGCATGTCGAAGTAGGAGAGGTAGAAGGTGGACAGGCCCTGCTCAGGTGTGGCAGGTGGGCTGGGGCTCCAGTCCCGTCTCTCGGGCCCCATTGCCCCTGCTCCCACTGCCACCTTCTCCAGGCCAGTCCGTAGCACAGTGTCGGGGGGCAGCAGGAGGCGGCTTGGGGGGACGCCACTCAGGCCCGGGCTGGCGCTGCCCATGCCGCTGCTGCTCGGGCTGGCGGCTGCGTCTACAGAAATAAAAAAGGAAGGAGAGTCAGGTCCTAGCTGCTTCCCCATCCCCATGGGGGCTGCTAAGCTGGTTACAGAGATGAGGAGCCCAGCGGGCAGTGGCTGGGCCTGGGAGAGAGTTGGGGCTTCTGGGTCACTGGGCAGCTAGGACAGGGCTGGGTAGACAGGTCTTGTGGCTGGAAAGCCAGTGGGATGGGAGTGGGGGCAGGACGGTAAACAGACAGCTCCCTTACTCCCCAGGGAAGCCAGGTTGGCTGCGAGCAGCAAATCTTTACACGTGTAGCCTGTTTAAAACAATCTTCTGAGGTTCTTGACCTCTTTCAGTCCTCACGATGGAAGGCACAATTAGTCCCATTTGGCAGATGAGCAAACTGAGGCCTGGACAAGAAGTCTTTAATATCCAGCCCTCTGTCCCTGGGCCGGCCCCCACCCAGATCCCAGTCCCCTGTCCTGTTGAGGAAGCTCCTTCTAAGGGCTAACCTAATCTTTTCTGCTGTGGCAAAGCTTGTTTTCTTTTACTCTGCCCTTGGAGGGGGTAGGGAAGGGAGAAGGTCACCATCATCTCCACCAACCGGGTGAAGAATGAAAGGAGCAAGTGAGGGGTGTGGCAGGGTAGAATCTCCTCCCAGGTTGGGGAGGCGGGTCCCCTTCCTCCCCCACAGGGCCACTTGGTGGGTGCGAATAAATTCCCGGCTGCTGAGGTGGTCACTGAACAACAACGTACAGGTGTGCTTGGCCCCGCCCCTACTCAGGGCTGGGTTCCTGGTACCCACCCTCCTTGTCCTTTCCTGAAAGGTGCTTCCCCAGCCCCTCCCAGCTCCCAGGCCCTCTTCTCTCCCCTCACGCCCAGAAGAACTCACAGCTCCCAAGGTGGGAGGTGCCAGGTGCAGACCTACAGGCCCACTTTCCCCACAGCTGCAGGGGCTGGTCAGAAGGTCCAGGCCCTGGGGGACAAATGAGTCCCTCAGCAAGTCAGACCCCACTCCTCTCCTACCTGCCGCCCCAATGCCTCCCGAGGGGCACCATTTGGCCTCAACGCGAGGAACTACAGTGTCCCTCCCCCCGGGTCCCCAGGCTCTGTTTCCCCTGGACCCTTTTCTCTGAGCCCCATATTGGAGTCCGTGGTTTGGGTGAGGCAGGGAACTTGCGAGATGTACATACACCAAAGAACTGGGGTCCCTGGGATATTTCCATGATTTGTGGACTCAAAACTCAAGAATAAATCAGGACAGAGGTGGAAGATTACCAACAACGTATGTTCCCCATAACACAGGGGATCATTCCGAAAGGAGGAAAGGAGCAGGTAAACCTGCTAAGGGCAAGTTAATGTGTGTCCTTTCTTGGGGGTATTTACATTTTAAACAGTGTTCTCAAAATGTGGTGCCGGGACCAGCCGCATCAGCACCACCTAGGAACTTTTGAGGAACTTGAATTCTTAGGCCCTCATCAGAGCAACTGAATCAGAAGCTCGGGGGTGGGGGGGTGGGGGTGGGGAAAGTAGGGCGGGGGAGGCCGAGCAATGCGTTTCTTTTTTTTTTTTCCAGCAATGCATTGCTTTCTCTTTTTTTTGGCCGCGCCGCACTGCTTGTGGGAACTTCGTTCCCTGATCATTGAACCTGGGCCCCCTGCCATGGGAGCAGAGTCCTAACCACTGTAACGCCAGGGAATTCCTAGCAATGCGTTTCTACAGGTCCGTTGGGTGATTCTGATGAGTGTTCAAGTTTGCAAATTGCTGCTTTGAAGGCATCTGGCCAGTAAGAGGGGTAGGCTTTACTGGAAGGAGTGGTAGACTCTCTAACGGTGGGATTTGCTGCGCTGCACCAGGACCATGGAGCAGGGGCTCCCTGGCCCTTCTCCAGTCACCTCATGAGACTGACTTGCTCAGCCTCAACGTGCAAGTGAGGCAGAGAGAGAACCCCGTTTGGAAGGCTCTAGCTTCTCTAGGGCTGCAGCTAGTGCAACTGCGTACAACTCAGAAAATGATGCCCTTTTCTCTCTGGGTGGCGTGGCTTGGTGAATGGAGCCCAAGTGGAACTTCAGCTCACCCTTGTCCCCCATCTTGTGCAGTGCCCAACCTTCCCAACTGTACACGGCGGCCCTGCTTTTCCGTGGCGGAGAGAACGCAAGAAAGAGAGAAGAGTGTTTGTTCACTTTCATTTTGCATCTCCCTTTCAAGGGCTCCTTTAAGTGACAAGGAAGGAGAGGTCAGGGTGGGGTGGGGTGGGCAGGGATCAGGGAGCCGGGCTTGCGGGGGACAGAGGGCAGGCCTGGAATCATTTCAAGCCCTTCTGTGCAAACACACGTGTGTGCTGTGGGTCCACATTATTTACCCAAGCAGAGCCAACAGCCCGCTCTATCCCTGGGTCCCCGCCCCAGCCTGTGTCCACACCCTACCCCCTGGGTGGCCCCCCCCCCGGAGAGCCCCTCTCAACCCCACCCTTCCCTCATCACCCCCTTCCTGCTTCCCGCCCCATCCACGTCCCCAGAGCTCCCCGGCCTGCCACGTTAGGACAGTCCCTGCCAACACCTTGGGCCGGGTGCCAGGGAGACGGAACCTTTCCTAAGAAGCAGGGGAACTTGCTTCCCTCGTGGCCCTCCTGTTTGCTTGGCCTCGGCCACAGGTAGGATGGGAGGCAGCTGCTGTGTTTCGGGGCACAGTGGTGTGAGGGGTCAGTGAGGATGAAAGGGCAGGACAGGTGGCAGCATTTGCCAGGTGGGGACGTGATGACACATCCCTGACACATTTGTCAAGTGAGCTTTGAAGCCCTCGCCTCCGTTCCCTCCCGGGAGAGCGGCAGTTCAGGCCTTAGGCTCATTCCTACGCTGTGGTGGGGAAGTTATGGTGCAGAGAACTAAATGACTTCCGGCTCCTGGCCCGGGGCTCCTTCACCAGCAGAGAACTCCCACCTCCTCCTCCACACCCCACATTCCAGCTCCCCGTCACCTTGCTCCTAAACGCCAAGGAACCTGCTCTCAACCAAGGCTTGGTCCCAGCTCCAACACCTACCTAGTGAAAAAAAAGTTAATGATTAACCATGCGGCAGGAGGCAAGAGCCGATTGTCCGCAGGGGGGGAGGTGGTGCAGAAGGCTCGGACCCCAGCAGCCAAGCGTGGGGGACCTGGGTTTACTGATCAGGGAGCCAGGGGCTGGTGTGCCCAGCCTGCATCCCTGGCACCTCCTCCAGGCTCTAGGACTGGACTTGGGAGGGAAGAGAACACACGGGGAGCAACTTCTGGGCCCAGAGCGTTGGTACATGTTACCCTTTTACTACCCACAGGGGACTCGAGAGCCCTGTTTTATAGACGTGGACTGTGAGGCTCAGAGAGGTTGTGCAGCTATTGCCCGAGGTCCACAGCCGGCCATGTGCGGGCTCTGCTCATTGTACCACGTTCCCTCTGAGGCTCCAGACGGTCCCATCTTCCCAGGGTCCTGCCCACCTCCTGATCAGGCAGCTTGGTCCTCCAAAGTTCATGCCCGCCTCCTAGCTGCTCACTCCACTGCACTGTCAAGTTCATTTCCCTCCAAAACCCTTTCATCAGGCACCCCTGGGCTCTGGAACCTCCCATGGTTCCCCACTGCCTGCCCTGCCTGGCCCAGTGGCTGGCGCCTACCTCTGAGCCAGATAATCAGAGCTGGAAGGGACTGTGGACTACGTGATCCCTATAGATGGGAACAATGAAGGCCAGAGCGGGAAACAGATGTATTCAGTGGTTAAGGGCAGGGTCTGGACCAGAACCAGAGATCAACATGGTGACCACATATCCAGGCTCTGATGAGAACGGTGCTTCTCCCTTGGTCCCTGTGCTGTGGGCATGACATGGCTATTTTCTCTTGTTTTGTCGTCCCCCTGCCCAAGATGCCCCTTCCTTCTCATCACAGTTTAGCCCAAAACCCTCCTCCCCCAGGGAGCCGTCCCCAGCAGCTTTCTCCTCTGACTCTCCAGCTCTCCCCATCTGTGCCATGCAATTCAGCTGTGATTACATTCATGGGTGATTGTCTACCCATGGGGACACATGTGCCCTGGGAAAATAAGGCTCAGAGAGTGGCAGGGATGTGTCCACAGTCACACAGCAGAGCCAGGACCACTGCACCATAGGCCTAGGGTCCTGGGACAAGCCCAGGCTTTGCCAGGTCCAGGTCCCTCCTGACAGCCTCTGGCCCCGAGGGGCTGCCCGTCTCCTGAGCGATAGCTCCAGCTTCCAAACCTCGAGCTGGTCTTTTCTGGATTAAGCCACGTGTCTAGATTAAGGCTCAGCATGTCCTGCCTCCCTCCTGCCTCAGAGGCACTGGCTCTGACTCCAGACAAAGAAATTTGATAACAGCTGGCGGAGGCCAAGGCCCAGAAACGAGGCGGATTCGCAGGGTAGCAGCCAGAGGGATTAGCCACCTGGGCCACTTCTTTTCAGTGCCTCACATTCTCCCAGGAAGGCAGAGTAAGGAGAGAAGGCAGAGGGACCCAAAGTTAGAGACTTACAGCAGCTGTTTCCTGCCCCTTGGGAGGCAACTCCCCGGCCTCCAGGTTCTCACTCCCATCCTGACATGCAAAAGATGCTCAGATATCTCCTGAAACCACAGCCCCAGGGAAATGGAGTTACCAGAGTCTTTACTAAGGCCCTGGACTGTCATGGGGCTGGAGCCTGTCTCTCACGTCCTGCTCAATCTAGGCTCAGATCTTACCCCCAAGGGGGTGGTGGGTAGGGTAAATATGCCTGAGCCCCCACCTCAATCCTGAGACACAAGCTTAGTCTGCCCAGAGCCCAGCACCCCAGCTGCAGGGCCCGTGAGAAGAGCGCTGAGGGCGAGAGGCTGGGGCCAGGGTGAGACAGAGCCTGCCACTCTGCCCAGAGCCGCCTACTCCACCAACTGGGGACAGACCTCCTCCAGTTTCCCCACTGTTGTCAGCCCTTCCCTCCCTCCCTCCAAACCTCTGGGCCTGCATTCATGGGTTGGAATCAGGGGGCTTTGGGGGTGCGATCAGGACCTGGCCAGGAGCCATGCAGAGTGGGCAGGGGCCACAGGGGCCTGTCCCCCCAACCCCCAGTCAGCTGGTCAGCACCTTGGAGAGAAGCCGGGCCTGCCCAATCCAGTGCCCTGGGCCTGCCTGCACCTGTCTAGCTTCCTTGAACCCTCCCTGCCTCTGGCCTCAGCCTTCCTGCTCCCCTAGACATTCCCTTCTCACGCTGCTACTCCCCCTCCAGCCCCCTCACTGCTCCTTGGACAACTCCTGCCCTCCCATGAAAACCCAGCTCCCTCGTCCTTTGAAACTGCTCTTCATACTAGCTGGATCCAGGGAATTCCCTGGCGGTCCAGTGGTTAGGACTCCACGCTTTCATTGCTGAGGGCGCGGGTTTGATACCTGGTCAGGGAACTAAGATCCCATATGCTGCGCGGCACGGGCAAAAAAGGAATAAAAAAGAAAAGAAACTAGCTGGATCCAATTAGCAGGAGCAAAGGTTCTACTTGGGAAGATTTAACTTGGGGAGCCAGCCCACGGGCCCAGGGAGACTTGGGAGTAGGGAGTTAGGGAACAGGGCCAGGTAGCAGGAGGATGGGGGACAGGAAACAAACGAGTCAGGGAACATCAAGGAATTATGGTCAGGTCTGCTTTGCCCACAGTTCCCAGGGGCAGCCAGGAGCCTGAAGGCATGTGTGTACCAGCACTGTCTCCCATTTGCTCCCGTGGTGTGGGTACCATGGGCATCCAACACCCCCAATCCCCCCACACACACCCCACCACTGACATCGCCTCCAACTCTTCCAGGGACAAAGTGAAGTCCAACTAAATAAACTGCTTTGGCTCTCCCACTGTCTTCTGGGGCAGTGGCGCAGCCAGGATTATTCCCACCTGACAGGCAGGGGGCGGTGGCTGCCTCAGGGCACGTGTCCATGGTGACCAGGCAGGGATTGGAACTCAAGGTGCCCTCTTTCCAGATGGTGCTGATGACTTGGCATTTTCCGACCTCTAGGATCACCCCTGCTGACCACCCCTGTCGCCTCGCTCAGGCTACCTGCGGGCCCAGCCCTAGAAAACCCCAGCCCCACAAAAGTCACACTGGGGGGGGTCTGGGTGGCACCGATGCCTGAAGCCTGGAGGTACAGGGACCCACCTCAGCCCCAAGCTCACCCCTGTATTTGAGTTTGCTCCAAAGGGTGTGTGGTCTGGAAAGAACTCGAGGCCTCAGCATCTGGAGATGTGGATTCATATTCTGCCCTGTTCCCACCATATGTAAGGCCCTGGGCAGCCCCTGGTCCCCTCTGGGCCTCAGTCTCCTCCTCTGTTCTCCCATTGGGTAAGTCATCTCCCAGAGCTTTTCTGGCCCAGACACTGTCTGGAGTCTATGACCCCATGACCTCCGTCTTGCCCATCAGCCTGACTTGGAATGGAAGTCAGAGGCAGGAAGAGCTGGATCTCAGCAACCCTCAGAC